CCACCACACCCGGCACTTTTCCCTGCAACCGCAGGAAGTGCTACACCTGCCCCCATACCTCCTCCCTCACCCCCATCCCAGGCCCCAAGAAGACTTTCCACATCAAGCAGATGTTCACCTGCACATCTGCCAATGTGGTATACTGCATCCGCTGTACCCGGTGTGGCTTCCTCTACATCGGGGAAACCAAGCGGAGACTCGGGGACCGCTTTGCAGAACACCTACGCTCGGTTCGCAACAAACAACTGCACCTCCCAGTCGCGAACCATTTCAACTCCCCCTCCCATTCCTCAGACGACATGTCCATCCTGGGCCTCCTGCAGTGCCACAACGATGCCACCCGAAGGTTGCAGGAACAGCAACTCATATTCCGCTTGGGAACCCTGCAGCCCAATGGTATCAATGTGGATTTCACAAGCTTCAAAATCTCCCCTCCCCCTACCGCATCCCAAAACCAGCCCAGCTCGTCCCCGCCTCCCAACCTGTTCTTCCTCCCACCTATCCCCTCCTCCCACCTCAAGCCGCACCTCCATCTCCTACCGACCAACCTCATCCCGCCCCCTTGACCTGTCCGTCCTCCCTGGACTGACCTATCCCCTTCCTAACTCCCTACCTACACTCACCTTTCCTGGCTCCATCCCCGCCTCTTCGACCTGTTTGTTTCCTCTCCACCTATCCTCTCCTCTATCCCTCTTCTATCCGCCTCCCACTCTCTCCCTATTTATTTCAAAACCCCCTTCCCCTCCCCCTTTTCTGATGAAGGGTCTAGGCCCGAAACGTCAGCCTCTCTGCTCCTATGATGCTGCTTGGCCTGCTGTGTTCATCCAGCCCTGCACCTTGTTGTCTCGGATTCTCCAGCATCTGCAGTTCCTACTATCTCTGATTCAAGTGCAATGTTATTTCTTGCAGCCGTCTTTACCTACGGGTCCTGTTGGAGGCCACAACCTGGTGGGTCTAGCAGATGAGGCACGAAGACTAGCAGATAAGTAAGAGTGGTTTCTTTTATTTGCAAGCTGCCCTCCAGCACTTTTCCTATTCTTAGTTTCATCTCACAACATTATAGCATGGAAAAGTTAAGAACATTTTCACACTTGCTTTGTTTTATTCAGGCATGTAAGAGAGGCAGATGACATAGAACAGTTCAGCAAAACTGCCAACCAGTCAGCGTTTGAAGCCCTTGAATTAATTACCCAAGTAATCAAAGATGATCAGAAAACCATGGAGTCCATCAACCTGCTAAATCAGCAGTAAGTGAGACTGAATTTTGATGTGAAACATATAAGAACATTAATTTGAATACTGAATGCTTGTTTAATAGAGAGGTAGCAAGAACTGCAGATGCTGGAGTCAGAGATAATACAGTATGGAGCTGGAGGAACACAGCAAGCCAGGCAGAAACAGAGGAGCAGGAAAGTTGACGTTTTGGGTTGGGACCTTTCTTTAGAAATGGGGGAGGGGGAGGGGAGCTCTGGAGTAAATAGAGAGAGGACGGTTGGTGCTGGGCTAGGTAGGTGGGATGGTAATAGGTGACTGCAGGTAGGGAGTGGCGGGGATTGGTCAATGAGGTGGGAGGGGTGGATAGATGGGAGAGACGACGGACAGGTTGTGTCAGGTCAAGGAGGTGGAGATGAGAGGGAGGGTTGGTCGTGGGATGAGGCCGGGGATGGGGAGATTTTGAAACTGGTAAAATCCACGTTTAGGCCATTGGACTGTAGGCTCCCAAGGCGGAATATAAAGTGCTGCTCCTCCAGTTTGTGGGTGGCGTCATTGTGACACTGGAGGAGGGCCAGGATGGACATGTCACCCAGGGAGTGGGAGGGGGAGTTAAAATGGTTCGCGACCGGAAGGTGTTGAGAGAAACAGAGTTAATGTTTCAAGTTCAACATGACCTTTTTTAGAACTGAAAAGTGTTGGAAAATTATGTTTTGATATGTTTGACAGAGGCAGAGGAGGGGCAAAGGGAACAGATAGTGTGGAAGCCCAGTGCAACAGACAAAATGGTTATTAATGGGGGTGGAAGAGAAAAAGAGATGTAAAATGGAAGTAAACTAAGGCGTGAAAGGGAGAAAACGTTTTTTCTCTATTGACAGCAAAGTAAAAAAGACACAAACAAAATAAGAGGGTGAGTTGAATGAAGGGGAAGAGAATATAAGAAAAATAGAAAACAGACGTCATGTGGCCAGGCTCTGAGATTAAGCAATTCAATATTGAGACCTCGAGGATGCAAGTGCTTAAGCAGAAAATGAAGTGAGCTTGTGTCATGCTTCATTGGAACATTGTAGCTGACCCAGGACAGAAATATCAGTATGAGTGCAAGATGTTTATTGAAACTGCAAGGAACTGGAAAGTCAGGGCCATTCCCACAGACAGAGTGGAAATGTTCCACAAAGTGGTCACCCTGTCTAAGTTTGGCAACATCACTGTGAAGGAGACCGCATTGTGGACAGTGAATGCAGTAGACGAGGTTGAAAGAAGTACAAGTGAAACATTGCTTCACCTGGAAAGTGTGTTCGGACAGCAAGGAGGGAGGATGTGAATGGGCAAGTGTTATACCTTCTGTGAATGCATAGGAAGGTGCCATGGGTGTTTGAGTGAGTGCTAGGAGTGATGGAACACTAGGCCAGAGTGTCCCAGATGGAATGGTCACTGTAGAATTCAGAGTGAAGGGGAAAAAATGTTTGGTGTCCTGGGCAGCGAGGAGGGAAGAGGTGAATGGGCAATGGTACACCTTCTTCAATTTCATAGGAAGGTGCCCTGGGGATAGTGAGGAAGCATTAGGAGCAATTGAGGAGTGGACCAGTGTGGGTTACAGAGAGAACAGTCCTTGAAGAATGCTGACAGTGGAGGGGAGGGGAAGATGTTAATAAAATGTAGGCTCTGCAGGTAAGTTTGATCTTAGTAGGATAATAGGTCAGCACAACATCGAGGGCCGAAGGGCCTGTACTGTGATGTACTATGCTGTACTGTTCTATGTTCTATGTGTTTGGTGGTCGCATCCTGCTGGAGGTGGTGAAATGGTGCACGATGATCCTTTGAATACGAGACTAGTGGAGTGAAAAGTGAGGGCAAGGGGAACCCTATCCTTGTTCTGGGAAGGGCTGAGGGCAGAAGTGTGGGAAATGGGTCAGAGGCAGCTGAAGGCCCTATCAACCTCAATGGGAGGGGTAATCCCCCATTGAGGAGAAAGGTAATGGAAGGTGGAAACATCAGAACAGATATGACAGAGATGGAGAAACTGGGAGAATGGAATGGAATCCTTGCAGGAAGCAGTATGTGAGGAGAAATAATGAGGTAATTGTGGGAGTCAGTGTGCTTTGAAATAGTATCAGTGAACAGCCTATCGCCAGAAATGGGAAACAGTGAAGTCAAAGAAAGGAAGGGAAGAGTCAGAGATGGACCAGATGAAGGTGAGAGAAGGATGGAGATTGAAAGTAAAACTGATTAATTTTTCCAATTCTGGATGAAAGCAGGAAGCAGTTTCAAAGAAATCATCGATGTATCAGGGAAAGCATTGTAGGTGGGAACCCAAGTAGGACCTGAACAACAAATACACCACAAACAGACAGGCATAACTGGGGACCCTGCAGATGGATACCCATTGTGACACCTTTGACTTGGAGAAAATGAGATGAATTTAACGAGAAGTTGTTCAAAGTGAGAATGAGTTCAACAAGGTGAAGGAGGTGCATAGAGACTGTGCAGGCCTCTTTTCAAGGAAGAAGCAGACAGCCTTCAGACCATCCTGATGGGGAGCGGACGTGTAGAGGGATTGTACATCTATAGTAAAGAGGAGGTGACTATGGCCAGAAAACTGACATTTGTAGAACAGACATAACGCACCAAAAGGATCATGAATATAAGTGGAGAGTGATTTAAGAAGAGATGATAAAATAGAGTCCTGATAGGAAGAAATAAGTTCATAAGAACATAAGATATAGGAGCACAAAACAGGAGCATGCTGAAATTTTGGGTCTGCCAGGACAGTTCTGTTTGTGGATTGTAAGAAGAGCACAGCACTTACGATGCACTAATGGATTCTAATCCAAACACACAGAACACTGAGACAAGCAGCATATGCTTGATTTTTTAACTCTGATATGTTGAATGTTGTTCATCACCAATGGAACATGTGTTGATTGTTCTGTTAAGTATTCCATGCTGTCTTCTAATCCATTTGGAACCATAAAGCAATATGCCAATTATTTAACATTGTTAAGGAAGGAGCAGCCGCAATTGTTTCTCTATCGGCAAAAGTACTATAAACAGTGCAGTTGTACATTTGTCTGGCAGTGGAGAGAGCCTCGATCCACTTTGGAAAATTTGTAGATGGTGAATAGAGTTCAAGATGTAACACAATATGACACAGGAAGGCCTGAGTAGAAGAGTGAAGACAAGTCTAATGCAACCAGGAAAAGGAAAGCTGTCTCGTTAAATCATCCAAGAAATAGTGGAATTTAAATTAATGTATTAGTAGGTTATTTAATGGGGCAATGCTTTGTATAAAGATATAATTAAGCTCCACTGCATGTACATTTTATTAGCATGACTGTAAGAAATCCTGTTTTGTTAGGTCTAAACAAATCAGTGACCTGGCAGATGAACTAGATGAACAAGCAAACAGAATAACCGCAAAAGCGCAGAAAGTTAGTGAGAGGGCTCAGCGGATTTACAATGAACTGAACAACCTCCCTACAATTGATATAGATGTCCTTGAGGTAAGTAATATTTGCAAGTCTGTTTATTGGAAGTGGAAGGTGATCTATCCTGAGAATTAGTTCTATGATTTTATGCGGCTGCTTAAACCGATGAAACCTTTCATCTCAAACCAAAGAGGCACCAATTAACTTTGGAAGCAATAGGGAAGATACTGGAAGGCAAATGAAAAGATATATCCATAATTTCTCTATTATGATAATTACATAGCCATTTGTCAACAATGATTGTGAACTTAATTCCTTACATAGAACTAAGATGGGGGTTCTTGGGTCTCTGTTACTATTGAAATGGCTCATTAAGTCAGTGTACTGCTCAATGTGATATAAATTCATAACCATCAGTTAAGCAAATTTCAGATGTAACCTCACAGCTTATGCTGCATTAGCTGAACTCACATGAAGTATATGTGAGATGCTACAATTGGCTTCAGTTTCTCTAGACTAGAGTGCATTAAAAGAAATTTGTTTCTCATGGTTGATGACTATATAATTAATTAAAATAGATATATGATTGTCTGGCAAGGACAGTATCAGACCCAGCTGACCCACCTTAATGGATGAGTAACCTACTCTCCAGCTTCAGATGGGGAAAGACACTCACTTCTTTTACAATGGGCAAGAGGAACTTGCAGGAGCTAGTGCCTTCATAAAAGTTCCTATTATTTGTAATTCATTTAAAAGCAAGTCCATTGAATTGACATATTTAGAATTATGAACCTATTTAAACTTTGACTTTCCCCCTCTCAATATTAGGGTCACTGCATGGATGTGCAGTGAATCTTAGAGTCATAGAGCCATACAGAATGGAAACAGACCTTTTGGGGGTCCAACTAGTCCACACTGACAATGTTCCCAAATTAAACCAGTTTCACCTGCCTGCATTTGGCCCATATGCCTCCAAACCTTTCCTATTCATGTACTCATCCAAATGACTTTTAAATGTTGTAACTGTACCTTCATCCACTTCTTCATCTGCCAATTCATTCCATATGCTAACCATTTTGCATAAAAAAGTGGCCCCTCATGTCCTTTTTAAATCTTAAATCACCTTAAAAATACACCCCCTCGTTTTGAACTCCCCCACCTTAGGCAAAAGACCTTTGCTATTCACCTTATTTATGCTCCTCATGATTTTATAAACCTCTATACAGTCACCCTTCAACCTCCTACACTCCAGCGGAAAAAGTCTCAGCCTATCCAGCTTATTTTTAAAATTCAAACCCTCCATTCCCAGCAACATCCGGTAATTCTTTTCTGAACCTTCTCCAGTTTAATAATATCTTTCCTATAACAGGATGACCAGCACTGCACGCAGTACTCTCAAAGAAGCCTCACCAACGTCTTATACAATCTCAGTGTATATTGAAACCTTGTATTTCCAAGTAACTACAAAAATGTGGTAACCATCAGGGACGGCACAGTGGTCAGCACTGCTGCCTCACAGCACCAGGGACCTGGATTCAACTCCACCCTTGGGCAACCATCTGTGTGGAGTTTGCACATTCTCCCTGTGTCTTTGTGGGTTTCCTCTGTGCAGGCTAGGTGGATTAGTCATGGGAATTACAGGGATTGGGTGGGATGCTGTTCGGAGGGGTAGAGTGGACTTGATGGGCCAAATGGCCTGCTTCCACACTGTAGGGATTCTATGAATTCATGAAGGTTCTTTCATCCTCTCCATCTTGTCTTGCTTTGTGAGGTGAGCCCAGATGGCCGAGAGTAGTTGTGAAATTGGGAATAAATACAGAACAGCTAGAGATGACGTTTAAATGTATAATAATGAACATTCTGAGGTTTGCTGGAGAAATCAAAGTGCAAAGTTTATCTCTGTTTATACCCCTCAGGCTGAAGCAAATGAACTCCAACTCAAAGAAAGTGCCATCGGTCTTGAGCTGAATGGAAAACTTGAATTGTACGAAAGATTGAAGAATAATGTGATGGACTTCCAGAGAGACGTCAGGAAAATTTTAGACAATGGAGAAATAGAGCAAAGGGTAAGCTCTTCACCACAATGCTGTTAAGTGAAAGCATTTACTCTGGAAGATTGTTTAATGTGTGATTATTGCTCACTCTGATCAGAGAACCATGTCACTGTTCAAAAAATAAAGGTTGTGCTGTTCTGTATGAGATGATATTGTGATAAAACCTGTGCTCTGCTGTGTAGCTGGTTTCCCTCACCAAGATTAAAGGTACAAAAGCTGTTAATAGTGTGTTCATGTTCATGAGGTAAATTGCAGTAATAATATTCTTGTAGGTCATGAGCTATTAACATTGAAATAATAAAATATTCTATTTAAACAGCGGTAAGTCTTTTGTTAGATTAGCCACGATAAAAGATTAGAACTAAAACTCTGCTTGACTACCAGGTTATCTTTGCAAACTCAAGTTGTTGGCAGTTTCTCACACCAGCTATAGTCTTACTCAATCGAACTTGTTGTAATGGTTATACTGAATGTCCCATTTCTGCACATGCCTGTCAATTATAGAACTGAAATATGGAATATTAAAGGGTGTAGCTAGTAAATTTGCACTCATGCTTAAAGCTTTGCTCTTGGAAGCTGATAGGCAAAATTTGGATACGGTGGGCAGTGGATCATTGACATTAACGATAGATCTCAGATCATATTGATCACCAAGCCCAAATCCCCAATATACATTTCTGGTTCTTTATTCATCCATGGATGTAGTTTTGCTGCCTTGCCCAGAATTTATTGTAGTTTAGAGTCAACCACATTGCAGTCCATTTATCACAAGCACCCAACATTTCTTCTCACAAACTTCATCCTACATTGATAGCAGGATTGCAGATCACACCCACTAATGACATCTTTCCACTACTATTCCTCATCATCACCAAAACAATTGTACACCCTGATCTCCTGGACCAAGCTCATCTCAAACTATTACACCAATCCTGAATTAACAGCGCCACTCCTCCTTATGTAGGCCAGGCTAGGTAAGTGTGGTAGATTTACATCCCTAAAGGACATTAGTGAACCAGATGGGCTTTTACAACAATTGCCATCATTAGGCTAGCCTTTTATTCCAGATGTTTATTGAATTGAAATTTCACTGTTTAACATGATGGGATTCAAAACCATTTTCCCAGAATATTAGCCTGGAGTTCTGGATTGCTAGTCTATGGACATTACCATTACACTACCGCTTATGAATTGATCTATCCCCTAACCTAGCATTCCAGTTCACTTCACCTAGCTGAGTTTTCATGCCCACATAATTGACTTTGTCTAAATTTAAATACTAGTCTTAGACTCACTTTTCTCCCTGTCAACTTGGATGTAGAATTCACTCAGATGAGTCGTTACTGTTAAGCGGTTTGTAGACCATATCCACTTGTCTCTTCTTTTCCTTACTGTTCCTCATCTTCACATAAAAACAAAGAAAACAGGAGCAGGAGGAGATGATTTGGGCCTTTGTTCTGCCATTCATTATGATTATGACTGATCATCCAACTCAATAGCCTGTTCCTGCTTTTCCCCCTTATCCTTTGATCCCTTTAGCCCCAGATGCGATATACAACTCCTTCTTGAAATCATACAATGTTTTGGTCTTGACTGCTTTCTGTAGTGGTGAATTCCACAGGCTCACTACTCTCTTGGTGAAGAAATGTCTCCTCATCTCAGTCCTGAATGGTTTAGCCTGTAACCTTAGACTGTTCTGGAACTTCACTGTCATTGGGAATTTCCTTCCTGCATCTGCCCTGTTTAGCCCTGTTAGATCGCACAAACCAATTTTATATCCTGTTCTTCTGAACCAAGGCGATCTCTAACTGTTGCACCAATGCTACCCTTAATTAACTGTGCTCTCCCCCCCAACCTTGACCTGGCTTCCTAACCTTGATCATTATCATATAACTTTCAACATTCAGGATCTAATCCTTGTCATCGTGCAGCCACATTGGATCATATTTATTCGTCTCAATATGTGTTATCAATTAATTTACTTTGTCAAGAATGACGTGCACATTCAGATACAAAGCCTCTAGTTTTGTCTTTTTGCTATCATTGTAACATCTAGTCTGCTATAATCTTAGGTTTATTCTTGTTTCCCCTTTCTGCCAGTCTCTGACCTTCATTTCCATATTGCTGTTCTGTACTTTTGCCTTGACATCTACTGAAGCTTAATCCTCTCTCAAGCATGCAGATAAGTTTACTTTTTACTGTCTGTTTGTATAAAGTTGACAAATTTCTTCTCACTGTAGGCTGCTGACTTGTTACATGCCAGAGCGAATGCTGCTAAATACCTGGCTGAAGATGCTGTTAAAAAGGGCACATCCGCATTGGAGCAATTTGATCGTATCTTAGCTAACTTAAGAGGTATGTAACCGGCCTTAATAATTTTAGAATAAAATTGTATTTGGATAACAACTGTTTCATCCACATGAAAAGATTACTATGTGTGTTACGTCAGCCATTTAATTAGCCATCATTCCTTGTTTTTCTCTTGTAAAGTATTTCCTAGTTGTCTCAAAATATAAAGAACAGATTTGCCTCCATTCAAAATGTGACTGTCTATATGTAAAAGCCTTATGTTCATGACAATATAAATATCATGGTTATTGTTGATTATATATATAAAAAAGTAGCAAATCCAGAAAGAATCCTGAGTCTCCTTGAGAGAACAAGAAAACAAATTGTCTTAAGCTACAATTGTACACATTTTCCGATAGAGAGTAGTTGAAGAATTCATTCCAAAGATATAATTCAAGAGGCCACCACATCCCCACAACACCACACACCTTCCCCTCCCCTGAAATATCTTCATATTCATGCCCACTTTACAGATACAAGTGTCACGTTAAAATCCCTGTCACTGTCTCTTGGCTAGCAGTCTTGGAAGTTTGAGACTGAGAACAATGAGGATAGAAATTGATACTCCAACTGACCCCAAAGTGTGTAAGTCTGTCAGCAGGTGTGAAGTGGACCATACTTTCCAAGTGAAAGGAAAAGAGAAAGCTATTGTAGTCTGATAGTTTCTGTTACTCATATACTCATAACGATATTTTCCATTTGTAGCAATATGGAATAAATGGTTTTCTTGGCCCCTATTTTTTTCTCATTCTGCAATTTCAGTATTTTCACATAATGGGTATTCTGGGCAGTGAAAATTTTTGGTAGGAAGTGTCTTTGAGATTTGGGCTGAAGATACATTACTAATGGACCTTTGCCACATATAGTGTGCGTTCGCTCGATGCTGACATTAGATGCATGGCTTGGAAAATGTTCCATTCTCCAAAGCTAGCGTCTTAAATCTCGCAATGAATGAAAATAAATCAGAAATAAGTAATTTATCAAAAGAAAACAAGATGAGCAGGGGAAAGATTGAGTATTTAATCTCAATGAGTATCATTGCTTGTGACTCTTTTTGTTTGAGTAAAATATTGAACTAGATCTGAAGAATGTTCTTATTAAGTGTGATGATGTGAACTATTCCAATCTCATTAGATGCTGTTTGGTTTGATACTGCAGATTTTAACACAAGAGTGATCAGCAATAAAACAGCTGCTGAAAATGCTTTGAATAAAATACCTGATATCATCAAGACCATTGATGGTGCCAATGCGAAAACTAACCAGGCTGAGAATCAACTGGGAAATGCAGGAACAACTGCCAATGAGGCAAAGAGGAAAGCAAGCGAAGCAAATGTTATTGCTGCTGATGTTCTGAAGGTACAATTTTTTAAAATTCATTTTCAACTCTATAAGCAGCATGAAGTCAAAAATTAGCAAATTTAGCCATCAATTTGCTTTGCAACTTTTTGTTTCTTTGTGTGATCTTGAGTCCATGATTGGTTGACTCCTTGTTGAGTCTTTTGGTTGTTGTCAGCTTTCATGGAAATCTTCAAAAATGCAAAAGGAACAATGAATATACTATTGATTACAAAAGTCATCCAACCATTTCACCAGCTGCCATCAGTTTTATCATTTAAATGTCTCTTTTGCTGCATTCCATATGGTGTTCTGTTCTTGAAGATCTTCATTGAATGCACTTCACCAGTTTTTCTTTGTTAGGCTCATCTTCTTTTCCTATCTGGTAGCGTTTATCCCACTACCACTCTGGCAGGGCTGTATGTCTGGGAGACAAGATACACATCCTCCCAGCCCTAGTCATCTCTCTGTTTCAACATTCTGTCAGTGCCTCTGACCAGCCCTCTCTAACACTTCTTCATTGGCCATCTTTTCTCTTCTAGTGCTGCTCATGACCGTGTACTGGTAACACTGTTGAGAGACATCCCACACACGTGGCACCTTTACTGTTCTCTTCCATGCCTTAGTGACATAGGCTGCAGTTGGTATTCCAATGGACTTAGAGAGTCACAGCTTTGAGGCCACTTTGTTGTTTTTGGATGACATCCTGTGGAGTCACTGGGAGACTAATACTACTTTGCTGAACCTTGTATTTGTATCAATCAGTACATTATCCTCCCTGAGGAGGTTACTTCCAAGGAGGGGAAGTGAGTGACACCCTCAGGTTTCTGTTACTTGATGGTAATGGGGTGAGGGGGATGTGCCTTGTTACCATCCAATCATCCTCATCTTGGTCTTCTCACAGCAGATGAGGAGACCAGCCTTGACATTGCTCATGACCTGGGATTGTGTTTTGCTGCGCACATGATTCTGCAACAGCAAAGCCATTTTGTCTGTCAAATCCAGGTCTATCCATTGCTGTGGGATGCCAACATCAGCACCCACTATTGTTTTCTTCATGATGAAATCAAAAACCAATACAGTATGCTGATGCTGCCTGGCCTGCTGTGTTCCTCCAGCTCCACACTGTGTTATCTCTGATTCCAGCATAGGCAGTTCTTACTATCTCAGAGTATGCAGTCTTGCTGTATTCCGGTGATGATGTTAAAGGTGTCCATAGTGCCAGTGCTGGTCTCGATGCAGCAACTGGAGTCATGGTATAAGGCTTTGAAGATGTTAATGTAGTGCTCCAGAGTTGAAAACTGTCTTGTGATGTACCAGAGTGACTACCAATGGATACTATCAAAAGGCTTCTTGAAATCATTAAATTTATGAACAAGTGGCTCTACTGCATGATGTTTCTGAGCATAAAGACCTGCTCACAGCATGACCTACCACTCCAGAAAGCTGCCTATTCTTCAGGAATGGGACCATCTACTTTGGCTTCCAATCTGTTGAGTAGCAGAGTGATGAAGACCATGCCGGGTGCTGAGAGCAGGGCTACGCCCCTCCAGTTGTTGAAGTTGCTGAGGTTTCTTTGCTTAGGCAGATTAGCTATTACTCCTTAACTCCGATCATCTGGGGTATCCTCTAAAGTCCAGATCTTGTACAATGGGTCTGTGAGCTGTGCTAATATGGTGATTTTTGATATGTTTCACTGAGCTGCTGGTGTCTCTTTGATCCCAAATTTCTTGCTCTTCAGAATTTTGATAGCTCTTTGGAGATCTGATCTGTCACTTTCTCCTAATTTGACATTTAGTTGCTGAAATGCATTAAGCTCATCAAACTTGAATGTGATGGACATTGAAATCTCCCACCCAGAGTATGTCCTGTGCCCTTTTCATCCTCAGTGCCTCTTCCAGTTGATGTTCAATGTGGAGGTCTACTGTTTCATTGGCTATGGGAGGGTGGGGCATGAAGTGGTAATTCAGTCGGACATTTTCTTGTCAATGTCTGACCTGATGTTATGAGATTTCATAATGTCTAGAGTCAATGTCAAGGACTCCTGTGCCAACTTTCTCCTAACGGTACACCATTGTTTAAGGTTTTAGCAAAGATCTGTAGCTTGGGTTGTGGGTGAGGTTGTTGACTTGCTCGCTGAGCTGGCCTGTTTTTGTTCAGATGTTTTGTCACCATGCTAGGTGACATCATCAGTGGAGCCTCCGATGAAGCGATGTTATTCTACTCCGTTTGGAATTTATACTGTCCGGTCTGTTATGGTGAGTAGTGTCATTTCCGTATACAACCCCACACAGAACAAAAACCAGAAATGACACTATTCGCCATAACAGACCAGTCGGTATAAATTTCAAGCGGATTAGAACAACATCGCTTCAATGGAGGCCTCGCTGATGATGTTACCTAGCATGGTGACGAAACGTCTGAATGAAAACAAGCCAGGTCGGTAGGAAAGTCAACAACCTGTACCCCATTGTGTCTGAGTCTGATTTACTGGTGGGATGGGACATACTCAAACACTGTGACCGAGTTGTCTGTGACATTGTCTTTAAGATATGATCTAGGAATATGTCTGTGTCAAGTTGAGGCATGTTTAGCTTGTGTGAAACTTCCCCAATTTTGGCACAAGCTCCTAGAGAGTAGTAAGGTAGACTTTGCAGGGTTGACAGGGATGCATTAATTGTTGTTATTTCCAGTGCCTAGGTCAATGCCTGGGTATCCATTCAGTCTAATTCCTTTCTTTAGACTTAATAACAGTTTGATACAACTCAGTGATTTACTGGGCTATTTCAGAGGGCAGTTCAGAGTCAGCCACAAAGAATGCTAGAGAAACTCATCAGGTCTGGCAGCATCTGTGGAGAGAGAAACAGAGTTAACGTTTTGAGTCCAGTATGAGTCTTCTTCAGAACTGGAACATCAAGAAGATTTGATTGCTTTAAAAGCCCCTCTGGTACACTGCTATCCTTAAGAGAATCAAAGTTGCCATTCTTGCTTGGTATGACTCCAAACGCAGCAATGTAGTATGAAAGTTCAAGGGTAGTTGGGGAATTTGCAACAGATCCCAGGATTCTTTGCCAGGAATGCCAATATCCCATCATAGAGAGAAAAAAATCCATATTTAATAGTTGAACTTAAATTCCACCAGCTGACCCACTGTGGTGAGATTTGAACCAATATCCTGGACATTTGGATTACAGTTCCAGTGAGATTGTCATTATACCAGCACTATCTCTGATCCTTCAATTGCTGGAAGGCAAGTTCACTCTGATAGAAAGTTTCATGTTGGATATTGGGTGAAGACAGCATAAGGAACTATCACTCACAGTCGATTTGACTGCCATACTCATCATCTAGCCTTGTGTAATTCTTTCTCAGCATAAATCACCTCCTTCAGCAGACAGGATTTTCTTTTAATATCTCCCTTGCAACTGAAAGTAATCTGGCAAAACTTCAGGATGTCAAACCAACCTACAATCTGTATTACTCAATCTTAGCTAGTTGTATTTCATAGATGACAGTTCCAAGGTTAAAGCAGCACAAGAACCATCATGCTCCTTAAAATATGTAACCATTTCTGTCTATGACTTAACTTTAAATTCCTGTTTATTCCCTTAGCATATACTTATTCAGCTGTATTTTTCGAAAAATGAGTAAACAAAGCAATTATATCTGCTACAAATGTAAACAGTAATAAGGTATTAATTTTCATTTCTTCTGCACAGTATAATTTATCACTGCAAAGTCTTGTTGAATGGGTCACTGTGCTTTATATTATCACTTGTTGCAGCCTGAATAAATTTTTGTCCAACAGCATTTCTAATTTTTATGTTGGCAATAAACTTCAGCATGACCTTGTGCTCTTGTTCCAATTCTATTAACAGAGGGCTATGAAATCTTTAGATGACACAGATAAGACACTAACTGATGTTGGACTACTGGATGGAGATGTGCAAGATGTGTTTGAGCAGCTAGGACGTGTGCAGACAGACATGGAGAACAAACAGAGATCAGTGCATGGAGATACCGCGATGGCAGAGATGGTGAGATCTTTTTTAGTGCTATTTACTCTAATTTACCAAAAGGTTTGTTTTTCTTTCTATGGTGCCACTAAAAATATACTTGCTGTAATTTGCCCAATTGTTGACTTGTGGGGCAGTCATTGGTTTCTGCCAAAGAAAGGGAGATATGTAACTCCAGGAAAGGACAATATAACATTCACAACTCTGTAAGTTTTTCTATTTTAGCACCGAACTATTAGAAGGGAATTATTGGGTTGCAAAAGCAATGGGTTTGCTTTACAGGAAATATAAATATTTACTTTGTTCTGAAGTGCAGTAGTTTTGGAAGTTTGTGAAAGCAAGGAGTGCAAATTATGTATCCAGCCTGCTGAAGAGACCAAGGTGTGATAGATAAAAAATTTTAAGGTTCTGGAGTAGCAGTTACTGGAGCAAAGATATCAAAATCGAAACCAGAAAGTAAGAATAACTATAAAAGAATTTACTTCTGTTATCTAAGAGTAAGGGCAGGGAACCGGCTCTACCTGCTTTGTGTTACATGGTGGCACATGTCGGTAATCCTGTTAGTCCTATTTGGTCTATCTTTTGAAGCTGAAGACTTTCTTTTTAATGCTCCCTCTTGTGGATTACAGTCATAGGACTAGATTTTGGCTACCAGGGCGGGTAACTCAAGTTGTGAAAAATGCCTCTTGGTAAAATACATACAATATATACAAATATTGATCTGGGCTGAAGATGGCTATCATGTAAAGGATGAAATCAGGTCTACCAATCCAGAAGCCAGCGTAGTGGTGATCACAGGACAGGCAAATGATGAGGTGGACTGTCAGCATATCTTCGGTGCCCTGGTTTTCATTCTAGCTGTTTTACAAGATGTTAGATCCTCCAGCTTCACTCCTCATATAACCTCACCCACACACTAAGGCCCTACATAATGTATATGCCAAGCTATGCCCATACATCATTTGTACAATAACGTATAAGACAATAACCAATGAGTTATATGGTAACAATAGCATATGTGGCCTTGCTAAGAGAAAAAAGAACTCACATTACCCAATTTTCTTTTGAAAAACAAAAGCTATTTTCCTTTATTCCTATTAAAATGTCAATCAGACAGAACTTTTAATGCAACAATGTCAGAAGTTTCAAGCACTTCCCAGATCTTAATTTTATCCAAAATCATTGAAATGTTGACAAAACAGATCACAACAAGAGCAACTTTATATAGTCCTTTAAAAAGTCAATTAGTCAAGGTTAACAACTCACATCATGCCTTCACTCACCCCTCGTGGCTTCCTGTACCATCCCAACCAGCCTATGCCCCTGCTATCCAACCCATGGCCTTTACAACTCCTATAGCAATTTAGTGCTGAATTATAACACCCCATGCTGCCCCCTCACACACTACCTTTTCCTTTACACCCTCCATCCCAACCCATCCAATATCAAGACATGGGCAGATGTCATGGTCCAGTTTGAGATTAATTAAATGTACTCAGTATCTTTTGGTGAATTCACTGTTTAAAAAAAAAGCTAAGTTTATAAAAACATACTTACTGCATTAACTTCCTTCAAATACTTAATAATGTAACAAACAAACATCTGTATTCACAGTTGCATTTCAAAGACTTCACAAGCGTTTGACATTTTCAATAAAACTACAAATTCACAGGGTAATAATTGCAATATCTGTCATGCAAGACTAAAATTCCAAGCCTATTTCAATTGATAGAGTGACACAGCAATGACCATTTTTTTTTAAACATCCAGATGTTTCTTCAAATATTTGAAGGACTGGAGCTTTAAGTGCCTTGACAACTCTTTTGACAGCTCCATTGTTTTAATAAATTTATCCAGTTCTATATAATTTCATGACGACCTTTAACAATCCCAAAGGTCATTTGACCTCTCCAAAAGGTGTTCTGGGATCATAGAGGTACCTTATTTCCCAGAAAGAGATACCCTATCCCTCTAAAGACTTTATTAATTTTATACCTTCTTCTATCAGATCTAAAGTGTACAAGTCATATTTTGCACACCCCACCAGCAAAAACCAGATGTAATCAAAGGGAGGCACTGTTTAACATGTGCAGTCCAAAGTGAACTCCATGAACTATGAATGTGTAAATGACAACCCATCCTCATTCTTCTCTGTGAGAATGGCAGGGACTGGGTGTGGTGGTGTGGGGGTAGAGGGGATTTTCAGAATCATACTTCTAGCACCATTTTCACCCTCACCACCTGTGCAACAATTCAGGCTAAATGTCTGTTAATGTTTCCCTGGTTTTTGTCACTAAAACCTTCCCACCGTGGAAGCATAGAAATAGAAACATAGAAAATCAGAGCTGGAGCAGGCCATTTGGCCCTTTAATCCTGCTGTGCACACCCAGCTTAATAGTGGGCTCCTGTTTCTCCCCCATATCCTTAAATAGCTTTATCCCCAAGTGTTACTTCCAACTCCTTCTTGAAAAACGTTCAATGTTTGGCCTCAGCCACTTTCTGTGGTGACGAATTCCACAAGCTCACCACTCTCTAGGTGAAGAAATTTCTCCTCATTCAGTTCTGAATCGTTTACCCTATATCCTTCGACTGTTGAACCCTCATGTAGACTCCCCTGCCATCAGGAACATTCGTCCTGGTTCTAACCTGCCTAATTGTCTAGAATTTTATGTTTGTATGAGATTCCCCCCTCATCCTTCTGAACTCCAGCAAATAAAATCCTAAACAATTCAATCAGTCCTGCCATCCCAGGAATCAGTCAGGTAAACCTTCACTGCACTCACTCTGTAGCAAGAACATCCTTCCTCAGATAAGGAGACAAAAACTGCACAAAAGACCCTATATCATTGCAGCAAGGCACCACTGCTCCTATACTTAAATCTTCTCCGAATGAAGGCCAACATGCCATTTGTCTTCTTGACTGCTTGCTGCACCTGCATACTTACTTCAGCAACTTGTGCATGAGGACACTCAGGTCTTGTTGCACACTCCCCTCTCTCAATTTATAGACATTCAACTAATAATCTACCCACATTTCACTTCATCTCCCATGCTTTTCCCATTCACTCGGCCTGTGCAAACCACACCAAAGCATCTCTGCTCCTCTTCACAGCCCATTCTGTCACCAGGCTTTGTGTCATCTGTAAATTGGAGATATTACATTTAGTTCCCTCATCTAAATCACAAGTTAGTTTATGAATAGCTGGGGTCCTAGCACTGATCCTTACAGTACCCCACTAGTCATCGCCTGCCATTTGGCAAAAGACTCATTTACTCCTACTCTTTGTTTTCTGTCTGCCAACCAGTTTTCTATCCATCTCAATAAACTACCTCCAATTCCATGTGCTTTAATTTTACACACTAATCTCTTACGTGAAACATTGTCAAAAGACTTCTGAAAGTCCGAATCCACACTTGTCTTCATCAACTCCACCAGTGACATCCTCAAAGAATACCTCAAATGAATTTTCAAGCATTATTTCCCTTTTGTAAATCCACGCTGACTTTAAATGATTCTGCCAAAGTTTTCCTAGTGGTTAGCTATTAATTCTTTTATATTGAACTCAAGCATTTTCCCTATTTATGACATCAGGATGTTAAACTCAGCAGTTTGGATTATTTTAGAGTGACCTAACATGGTTTTTGAACATTGGTGTTACATTTGCTGCTTTCCAACCCTCTGGTACTTTCTTGCTATCTAAGGAAGATTGTAAAATTGTGGCAAGGCCCTTCATTATCTCCATCTCCTCTATGCAACTAGTAACCTGGGATGAAATTTATCTGGCCCAGATGGCCCACTCACTGTGGGCATGGCCAGTGATTCCAGCACATCTGCCTACCGCTTTCACCACCACCATCCATCTACTGCATCTATTAATGTTTCATTATCATCCTCTTCTTTAGTAAACACCAATACAAAGTATTTATTATTCATTTTAGTCTTGCTTCTGTTTTCTTCTCTCTCGGCATTACAGTCTAACATCTCTATTCATCAATATCTTTCAAAATCTGAATGTGGCTAATAATGGGATAATGACCAGATAGTCTATGTGCTGTGGTGTTGATTGAGGAATAGATATTAGCAAGGACACTGGGATAACTCCCCTGCTTCTCTGTGAAATAGTGTCATGGGTTCTTTTACATCCATCTGGACAGTGCGCTGTATCAATCAAAGACAGCACCTCTGATCTTCCCTCAGTTCTACTTTGGAATGTCAGCTTCATTTTTGTGCACCCAGGCCTTGGAATTACCTCTTTAATTTCCCACATTTCCCTTTTGATGGAATTAAGGTGAAGGTTTTTATGGGAGGATTATTCTGTAACACATGGCATTCGCTATTACGTCAATGTTCATGTATGACACTAAACAGTAACTATTCACAGGATTTTTAACATTGGATGGTGAAACCTGGCTCGATCTTTGCTTTTCTCGGTTTTTATTTGGAGTGGGTAGCAGATATTGGTTAAGAGCAGGAAGCAAAGTTTAGCTTTCTTTCCATAAACCCCATTGTGCTAACATCACACTCATCATTCCCATGGAACAGAACAGGCCATCTGATCAAATTCGGAACTGTTTTACTCTGTACTGTTATCACATGGCTCAATGTGTTTATCCTTCCACTTATTGTTCCAGATCACAGCCAATGTAAACGATGCGACCATGAATGTAGCAAGTACACAGGGTTCCATTAAAAAAACAATGGATTTGATAAGCAACCTACTGCTTTCTATGGGTGAGTGTGACACAGTTCAGAATTGACAAGACTCTGTAACTATAATGAAAGCTCAGTGTACATTAGGTACTTGGAAACAAAAAGATTAATCAAAAACTTCGTGAAAAACATCACTTTTTTACTCCTTGAAACTCTACCATTACTGGCGTTAGTGAGGGGACAGGTGAAGACTCCAAAGACCTTAATAGAACCTGCTCCATCAGATCCAAGTTTAATTCTGGGACTTTTGGGAGTGATTGGGATAGGTGTTGGATAGAGTCAGGTATCACGTATCATTGGAGTGCCAAGGTAGATATTTAAAAGGTCCACTTTGGTTTGCTGGGACTTCATTCTCATTGTTTTTGTATATTTTGTATATTTTAAAGTCTCTAGTCCTCATATCTTACATACCCACTCAATCCACATGCCAGCTCCATGCCAATACATGACCCCACCTGCCTACTATTGGCCTCTCATACACTAAATGGCAAGACATGCCCCCACCAATAGCCACTAAGCCCTTCATACCAACTCATAGAACTTCCATATTCATTCACCCTCTGTACATTCTGTGCAGAACTAATTAACTTTTTGAAAACTGCTGACACTGCAACCTGGTGAAAGAGTCAAACAATGAAAAACAGAAGCTATAAGCCTCATTATGCATGTCTACCTGAGAGACCAGGCTCCCATAAAATGTTTAAAAATTTTTGATACATTTGGAAGAAAAGAAATCAATGTCTGATTAAAAGTTTTATGATTTTATAATAAGTTTTTCCTTCAGTGATCTGTTTTGCTAATTGCTCAATGTTTATTTTCATAAGATAGAGATTTCATGCGCTATAGCTTCTGGCATTAATACTTTAAATGTATGGTGGATTGACACGTGGTTGCAGCAAAGACAGATTTTTAAAGGAAATGTATGAATTTTTTTTCAGTTCAACATATAGCATGTTTACTGTAGGATTGATTGGTCCTGTATAGAGGGGAATGAACATGCAATTGCCATGAATTGCCATGGAGGGTATGAGGGGGCTTTTGGGGTGGGTGCAGGCATGAGTTGGCGTGGAAGGGTACAGATATGATCTTTTCATCTTATCTTTTAAATGCTCCAGAATCTAGACTTTGGTTCCTGACTCCCCTGTGGAAGCTGTGAACCAAGAGTCATTTAGAAACTGACCCAACTCCATGACAATTTCAGAGGATTAGGATATATCTATCCCTGCAATGCAGCAGGCCAAGTTGCGATTGCAAGGTGCAGCCTTACTACTTGGGCTGTTATCCTGCCCCATTGAAAGTTACATGTGCCAGGAATGGGGATGGGAATCCAGAATTGGGACCAGGGTGTCTTTTTTAACTTCCAATCTGTACCCCCAAACCCAGCAGTCAGAGGCATGATAATGCAATTCCAAGTCTCCATGGATTTGTTTTTGTTTTTAAAAAAACTAGTCTTAAATGGATTGACAGAAGGAAGATAATATCTCACTAATATGTAACTAATATAGAAAATGAACTAAGCTGAAATGTAGCTCTACATATAAAAAGTATGCAGCATGATTTACTAACTGAAAGAACAGAGCATGATTCACTAACTGAAAATACAACATAATTCACTAACTGAGGAAGTGTCCATATAGCTTTAACACACTGCACAATAACAGATTCTTGTCCTGTTAGAAACTTGAACCTGAGTTTTAATTCCATCTAGGGCAGGATTAATTACATGCCTCTGCCCTGATGTCTGCTGTATACATTCCAATGCACAGTCTGCTGCAGGCCTTTGACGCAATTCCAAGACCAGGACATGCCCATTAATAGTCTCATTTTGAGTCTCTCATTGACATTTTTTCTGCATCCAAATGGGAAAGTGTTCAGCATCAGCTTTGGATAGGCTTGGGAATTTCAGCATTTCGCTGCATTGTGCTAATAAAATGCAGTATTCACTATGCTTCTCTGTTTATGGAGGTTCAATTTCAACACAAATTATGCAGATTTGGAGCAGAGGCACACAGAAATGTATTGATTAGTTTTAATGCTGGTCTTGCTACCCTGTATGAAATAAAGCCATCATGGATCTTATACAGATGACATCCTCAAAGTTTCAGAATGTTTCGACATCTGATTTTTAGCATGTTCAAGACTAGCCTGTGAAATCTGGATTTGATAATCTCCACTATTATTGCTTAAGTACTCGTAACTTTACAGATATTTTTCTTTCTCACAGCTATCCTTTCATCTAATAGACTATTATGGTCATGAAAACACTGTTTAAATTGATGCTTTTTCTTTGCAGGTAATGCAGCTGAGATTGATGCTACTAAGTTACAACGTATAGAAAATTCTTTGCAAATCTCTAAAGACCAATTGACCAATGAACTTCAATTGAAGCAACAAGAATTGCAGGAAGCTGCCAGAGAACAAAGAGAATCAATAGCAGCTTATGATCAAGATATTGAGGACATCCGTGGAGCTATTAAAAACCTAGAAAACATTAGAGACACTTTACCTCTTGGATGCTTCAACACTGCAGCCTATGAAAGGCCCTAAGTGCTTGACACCTTTTGACAGAAGTTGTACTGCTAAAACTAATTGTGAAAAATTTCTGTTTTAAGAAAAAAACCTCAGCAAAAGACATTCTATGCAATACTTTATCAGCATCAAACAGACAGATAAAATGTGAACACAGTAACAGCTTTTGCAAAAATAATTACTTTTAAGTTGGTACTTGATTGAATTAGATGCAAATTTCACCACGTCCTTTCCATTACTTATTCTGTGTCACATGCGTTGCACTATTGCTGTAGTGCTAGCTTTAATTATTCCCACTTACGTCTAACTAGGTTGCAGTAAAAAGAAAATAATTTATTTTTTTCATAAATAAAGTCAGTTTTTAGAAACTGGACCAGATATTCATGATCAATTTTTCATATATACAAAATCCTGCAGCATTGCAAGTTATAGTTTACTGTTGCTGAGTCTACAATGTATGAAGGCAATACAAAGCAGTATTGCTTGTTTCAGTGCCATACTGTGCATTTATTCTGACACTATCATTAATGTTTGAAATCCACCCCTTTCAACAGTAGCAGAAAGTCAATATGTTGCTTGAAATGCGGTATGGATCTTTTAGTGGCCTATGGATCATTTGTACAGAATTGGCTGCTCTGCTGGCTGCTGTTATTGTGATGTCTGTGTGAACTGTAAGAGTAACCAGTACTAAAAACTGATTTAACAAAGACAAACAAATAACTCTTAGAAAACTACTGTACTTGTATTGGATGCCAGCTAGACTAGTTGGGATGCAGTGAGGAGGGGGAAGGAGAAGGAAGAGAAATCAGCCAAGGTTTTCTTTCCTGATTGCTACCTATTTACAGATTTGTTTTATTCTTTATGAGATGTAGATGCTGCTGTCAAAGCCAACATCTGCTGCCTCATGCCATTGCCCCATGGGTCCCTGTCCACACTAACACGTGGAATTGTAGCCACCCTAAGTGAATTACAGGAAATCTACTGGTTCCTGGGGAGTTGCTGCCAAATGAAATTCAGCCAGAAAGCAACATTGGAGTTAGGTTGAGAAAATGCAAGAAAGGAAATTTGGGGAAAACTTTTTGCCCTACATGGGCGTATTTATTTAAATTTCACTGTTTAAACCTCGTGTAGACTGACTGCTTTAATCTTTATCCAAAAGGTTTGTTTTTTTCTTAAATTTGTGAAATCAAATAAAAACTAACCAATCATTGAAAGGCAGCATTTTAAGCACATGAATCTCAGCTGGTATACTTCCTCAAGCATCCTTCTGAGATCTTAAACCTCCAATGCCAAAGATAGATTGGGTGACATGTTTACTTTTGCATTTCATTCACTGCTCTAGTTTTTCCCTTTTCTTTTTCTTCTTCCTTTGAAAGCAAAGAAACAGTTCACTTTCGTCTCCTGCAGATTATATGGGATTGCATGCTGTGCAACATGAACTCCAACCTAATTTATTAAAAAACATCAAGCAAGGTTATATGGTGGGAACTAAAAGGAATGAATGCTTTATTTCGATAGTGAGATGAAACATAAATTATAGACATGGAAACTCAGACTGACACTAACCAAAAGCTAGTATATCATCTATAACTCATGCAGGTTTTATGTACCCAGGGTTGATTTCACCTGACTTCATTATGGGCACTCAACAATCCTTGGCCTGGAGTTGACCTAACTCCCCCTGATTCCTGTTCGGACCAGACTACCCCTGGCCCTGAATCCCATGCCAGACACCCCATGGATAGCAAAGTCTCCTCACTGAACTCAAACAACACATCCCTGCCCAATAGCTCCCCTTGTACCTAGCATTCCTCCCAGCTTAAACCGACCTGGCTCCAACTCCTCCAGGTTCCCGAGACAACTCTCCAGGTGGACCCCTCTGTTTGTCCCAAATTCAACCCCATGACTGGCACCCCAAATAGACACTAAGCACTAGCCACTTGCCTGTCACTCAAACCTCTCACCTACCTGCCACCTACTCCCCATCCACCTTCCACCTTACCCCTCAACTACCTGGCACCCTAATTCCTCATTCACTTGGCACCCTAACCCTTCACTGACTGGGCATGGCCCCTGTCCCTCACTTCTCTTACACAGAAATGTTGCTCTCCTTGCTGCAGACGTGTGTTTGTCACAATTATGGAAGCCGAGTGATCCGGACACTGAAGTGACATGCCACACTGACATAAGGCGAGATGCACACGCTGTTGACTGAGGATTACTGAACAGCACGGCCACTGTCTGATTGTCTGACTGTGCCCTTTGGGGCAGTGCAAGGCATGGCAAGGCAGTGCAAAGCATGCATGCTGCTGGCATGCCAGTGAAACCAAGTGAGTGTGTGCTGTGAGTGCAAAGGAACAGCCCTGGGAGACAGCCTGGCAAAATCTGTGAAATGGGTTCCTTTCCCTGTGCAGTTACTACCCAATGTAGCCAAAGACTGTTGGACAGTTTTGTGCCCTCCTAGACCAGTCTGCTATTGCACAGTGCAGTGCCAGTAATTTGGAGGATGCCTGGGTTGTGGCAACACCTCCCTCAAAGTGGAGTGCCAATGTCCATAATTGGAGGGTACATGCTGCCGGTGCTGGTGGATCAAATGGCAGGTTGATCCCACTGAGAACCGGCTGTGGTTTCTATGTCGAGTTTATCGATGGCGAGTTTGTTTCACGAATTTAGCAAGATTGTCACCGATGGTGAATGGAACTGTTAACAAGCTATTCAGCAAGCAATGAAGAACATCATTTGGGAACTCACTGCTCTGTAACGAGAGCCTGGTAAGATTCCACTCCAAGTTTCCAATCCTGATTGGTGAATGTAAGCCACTCATTCTGCTTGGCTCCCCTCAAATGCTGCCTGACCTGCTGAGGATTTCCAACATTTTCTGTTTTTATTTCATGTTGCCTGATTTTATACTATTTAATTATTGATTTGCTGAGAAGTATCAGATTTGCCGACAATGACACTGATAATTGAACATCGGCTGGCCATTACTCATAATCTAAACTCAGGCTTAAAGAATAGTCATGTGGGCAAGACTGTGTGCAGGACTACCGACAATAGAACTTTACACAGTCACAAGAACATCACAATAAGAAATTAATGAGAAAAAGTGGTGACCATGGTGATCCCTGGGGAAGTAAATTTTATTACTAGCTGTATAAAAAAAACCTGTAATATCCTGATATTTAAGAACAATTTCAATGACTGTGTACCCACTTTATTCTTTCATAATTTCACAAGCTGTCACTGAGGTTCAGGAGCACAGACTGCAAAACAAAAGTCTCATATGGGTTATTTATTGTCTTTGACATTTTTACGTGCTTCGTGTAGGATTTTTTTGTTCTTTGTTCAGTTACAGTTGCGCAATAAACTATCACATTGCACTTTAATGGACTGGTTTAGTATTTTTGATTTAATCCGTTTAACAAGTTTTTTCCACATGGTGATGGAGGTCAACATTACACTGTTCGATTTGCCCTAGTTTGTCCCAGATAGTTCAATGGCAATACCACACAGACAATGGGAGCTTGCATGATATAGACACTACACTATTGGCCATTTATAGGTAGAGGTACACTGCCTGTTGGTTGAATAAGAACAAATAATAGTTGCTGTTTATCAATGCCTGAAGCAGGTTTCACTTTCTTTTGCATAGAAGTAAAAGTGCTGGCAAATCATAAATTTTGTTTATGGTATAATATTATAGTAATAAATTTTGTTTTGTGTGTCTGTGTGTGCTTTTAGCCTCTTAACTGCTGACAACGAATGACTGATTAGGGGAAACACTCTTTAACTAGATGCTAAATCAGCTGAGAGTTTACATTTGTTTTATGCTTAAGGGTTATTTTCTGAAAACATATTGTTTCAGAAAGTCTCGATTATTTAGAAAAATATTACAGCAATTTGGAATAGTTTGGCACAAGATTTTCTAGTTGTTATTTCTGTTGAGAGTATGATATGTATTGCCAAAGCAAAATGAAAATTGGATTATTTTGTCAACCAAACTAAGTGGCAGCTAAAATGTTTTTACTTTCAGGGCCTAGAATTGTTCAGCTTTGTATTCAAGGTCATTGCTCTCATTGCTTGCTTTACCTAAAACTATTTAACATACACTGTGCATTATTATGTTTATTCATTTTGTTTTCTAGAGATTAACTATTAATTACAAATTAAGTGCGACCTACTAGAATATTTTTACTCCTTCTTCCATCTTGCAAATCAACTTAATTATCATCAGATTTTAAATTCTGAACATTGTCTTACATCTAAAATTGTAACCTATGATTTGTCATTAAGAATGATGACTGACCTATGGTTTGTCCCCACCATTTTTTGCCATTGCTTTAAAGTTCCAATATGTTTAGTTTTTCTCTTTTCAATTGACCACTTTTTGATGTGTATTTCGAGTGGGACAATGAATGGATCTGGCTTGACTGTACTGTCTTCGATGATTGAAAAACCTAGCAGGGTCTTGGCAGGCCAGCTTATTGGAGGTGGGGTGATTACTGTGCTCCAGATGGATGGCAGAATTAAATGTTATACCATTGCTTAGTGTGTAACACTCACACAGGTTGTTTTAATGTTAGCAGGCAATAAAATATAATAATGTGCGCAATGATGTTCCAATTCATGTTTCTCATCTCCCAAGAGCCTTTCAAGTGTCCCTCAAAAGTGATGGAGGAGGAAGACAAAGACTGCTCTGAGGAGTTCACTCATTCTGATGATGCATGGTGACATAGAGAAAATGCCAGAAAGTGAATATGAGAAATGTCAGATCTGCCATGATCCTATTGAATAGTAGAGCAGGCTTCAGGGGCCAAATGGCCTACTCCTTTTCTGATTTCTTTTGGTCTTATAGGACTCAAGCACACCCACCTTCTGTTCAGAAAGATACAGTTAGGTGGGACTGCCAATACGGGTAGATAAGACTCATGTAAAAGTATGTTGCAGTAGGCAGGGAGAGGCCCAATTAGAGGGTGCAGGACATTCCTCAAACTCTGCTCAACTGGATGCAGATGCTAGAGGTCAGGGATTATTCTGGATGTGTGAACATGTCTGCAGCACTGCATGATTGGGGAGAGATCAGAGATCCTTCTGTAGCATGATAACCATAATGTCTCAGGCCTTCATATTGATATCTACATTCAAGGAAAACACAGCCTCGTTTGGGGAGCATCAGAAGTGTTTGCCAGTCAAGAACATTAACCAAGGCTTGCACTGTCAGGATAGAGGGAAGCCTTACCTTGGCCATTTGGTATCTCACTGAAATGCAGCAAAATATTCTCTGGCTCCTGGCTAGCCAAGAAATACAGGCAGGCCTTGTGACAGAAGGTGGAGAAAGCTGACATGGAAGTAGGAAAGTGTGGAATGCCTGGAAGCCATTATAATTCTCACCTTTTAATAACCATTTGGTCACAGCATCAGAGGTTACCTCTGTCCTGAAGGTTTTGTTTAGCTCTGTAAAGTTACAGGTGGACGGTATTTGACAGGATCCTTCTGACTTCCCAAATTCAGAAGACAGTGTCCAAAGCATTTGAGTAGTCAAAGCAGAGATGTGAGCATCCTGCCACGGAGGGAGCATCATGTAGGAATAGACAAAAAAATGAAAATAAAGAATGTTTAATTACACTGTGGAATTCATCTGTGAATCTAACATTGATGTTCTAGTGAACTTAAATGTTTCTTGATCATTTTACCACTCTGTTGTCTCATCTTCTTAATTTTTACCTGTTTCCTGCTGGTGATCCTTTGCCTTGTGAAGAAATGAACACCAAGAGTTAAAGAATAGCAATTGTGCGTTCATAAAATTGATAGATTAATGATTGTGGGCCTGCGTATCACACAGAATTCAGAATTTGTGTTCCAGCATCACCTCACTTTAACAGAACTGTGCCTGAATCAAGCTGTTCTGGTCATCCTTGAGTGTGGTGTCTCCTTTGTTGGCTCTTTCTAGCTCCTTTTCTGGAGAGCAAAGCATTCAACACCTTTCTCTTGCTGCATGGCTACTCTCTCTGCTACTCTGTGTTGTACATGGTGCACAGAATCATTCTGAATATCTGGGCAGCTATATGGTTCTAAAGAGGGCCTTCCAATCTGACCAAGCAATTCATTTGCGTTTTCACCATCCTGATTGTCTACTCTGTTACAATTCTGGTGCACATTTTGACGTTGATTGTACCTTTCATGGGTATCAGTGTTTGGCCTTCTCACAGGAGTCTTCAGAAGCCCACCTGCGATGTAACATGTAGAATTTATAAATATGCAGTAAACGTTTTATTAACCAGCACCAATAGGACCAGGAGTATGCTGGTTCATCAAATATTGCAGTTGATCAAAAGGTCCACATAATCAATGCAAAAACTAAGAAATAGAAATGTAATGCAGGGTATACACATCACTTTATTTACAGCATAAACCACTTTAATAATGCAACTTTGCCTTAAATAAAATTTACCAGCAGAAAGCCTTCTCACTTGCAACCTCAACTGACAACTCAGACATCCTGGTAATTCAGTAAACGTTTGGTATTCAGGTATATAATTTTTGTTGATTTATTGAGTATGCCAGTTCATAAGGTGCCAATTAAAACAAAGTTTGCTATATGTTAATACCATTTCTTTCAGACATTGGATTTTGAACTAGTGGCATGGGGGTTTTAGTCTGTGTGTATGAAACGGTTTGATAATTAAATTGTCAGTATTTCTGGAGCCATGACTTTTTTTTGAAACCAGTATGCGGTTTAAAATTAGTTATGAATCATTTCATCCATACAGACAAAATTCAGACGTTATTATTTCAAACCCAAAACTAAATGATACTAAAACATATATAAATCAGCACCTTAGATCAGAATACAACTTAATAGTGAAATTTCTTGTTTAAGAGTCATGAGAAAACTTGAGCATGTCAATCTTTTTAAATGTACTTCTGCCAGACTTTATTTTGAAACCAATATGCGATATGCACCTTTGCTATGATAAAAGTGAGTTCAGTGGAATTTTAACTTGTTGACACAGTGGGAGAGCTGGAGGTGCCGGGCTGGATTTGGTTCAGGTAGCATGTGAAAAACTAGGAAGTCCACAATTACCTGCATGCTATTAACTTTTTAACTTTTTTATTTCAACCAGTTTGAATTTTAGCTCTGATAAGTTTACTATTTGGAAGTCAGTATGATTGACAGGTTCAGCTTCCAGTTGAGCAGGAAATAGGTTGGAGGAAGCTGCAAAAACAAGTAAGTTTGATTTCTGAGCTCCAGGAATGTGACATGGGAGCAATCAAACCTCGTGAAGGAATTAAAGGTTTAAAGTAAGGAGGTTTAATTCCAAAGGGGATGTTTGAACCAGGGTTTGATTCCTAAGCCCAGGAGTGGGACCAAACCCTGACTTTTCTTCTCCCTGAGGCTTTCTTCATTTCCCTGCAGATATTAGATTTTCTGATGCCTGGGGAACACTTCAATCATGTTTAAACCTGAAAAGTAGCTAATATCCAAGACTTTCAGCCACATGACTATATTTAAAATGTCATCCTATCCCCTAGGACTGTTCCTGGGAGGAGTTAACCGGTGTATTTTATTTCCAGTATAAAGTCTTGTGCTAGTGCTAAATTCAATGTAGCTAAACAGGATGTGTGTTTATTCTTAAGTCTGTTCTGTGGTCTTAACAGAGACGCAGATACAACGTAACTGAATATTAAGTACTATGTAATAAACTTACACAGCTTAACTAAACTGAGCCTCACTTCTGCTGAGGGCTTTGTCATGGTATCAATAATCTAAACCATACCAATAAGAAGAATTGGTGGCAGTGTATCTACTCTAGACACCTCAGCTGGTTTTAGTGGACACAACCCACAACGTATCCCACTACCTGGCTTCCTGACACTTTTGTTGTAATTGTTCACAGTTCCCTTGATTTGGAAATCGTTCCTTTAGATTGGACAATTGCACATTTGCGCTGGAAAAGTCAAAGGAGGAAACTAGGACAATTCAGAGCAATTAGTCTCGCATCAGAAAACTATAAGGGACTTTAATTAATGTAGGAGAAACTGAACAATGTCATGGTATCAACAGAGACTGATAATTTTCTGGCAACCAATATCAAAAACTGCATGACAAGATTTGATTTTTGACTTATACTGTAATAAACAAGCTAAAATCAACATAGAATAAAATGGTACTGAAAAGACAAGTGACATATCAAACTACAGAAATGATATTTCACCATTAACTAATTAATGCAACCAAAAATGCTTTACAACCTATTTGCATATTATGTCACCTGCTTAACCGAGATGTAACCTTTTAGATTAAGTCCCATTTTCCTCCCAGATTTTCAGCAAACGCTTCTCCCTGCAGACCAGAGGAAGTCTTCCAATGTCCTTTGAAAACTGT